GAGGAGGGACAAGAAGGGAGAGGAAGGGCGCGGCGGGCCGGGGCCGATCAGTCCAAGCGGTAGAAAATGCCAGCTTAGGCCAAGAACGTATCTTCCATTGACTTCCAGGTCAATGGAAGGAGGAGGAGGAGGAGGAGGAGAAGGAGGACGATGACGAGGAGGGAGAAGGAAGAGGAAGAGGGAGGGTGGAGGAGAAGGAGGAAGTTGATTGATAAGGAGGCGGAGGAGGAGGAGGAGATGAGGACGAGGAGGCGGAGGACGAAGAGGAGGATTAGGATGAGAGGAGGAGGTCGAAGAGGAGGAGGAGGAGAGGAGAGGAGGGAGGAGGCGGAGGAGGAGGCGGAGGGAGGTAGAGGAGAGGAGGAGGAGGAGGAGGGGGGGGGGGGGGGGGGATGGGGAGAGGATGGAGGAGGAGGAGAGGAGAGGAGATGAGGAGGAGGAGGAGGCGGAGGAGGAGGAGGAGGTGGAGGATGAAGGAGAGCAGGAGGAGGAGGAGGCGGCAGAGGAGGAGAAGAGCGAGGAGGACAGGAGGTGGAGGAGAGGAGGAGGACGAGGGCGAGGGGGAGGGGGAGGGGAGGGGGAGGGGGAGGAGGAGGAGTAGGAGGAGGAGGGAGGAGGAGGAGGGGAGGAGGGGAGGAGGAGGAGGAGGAGAGGGGCGAGGAGAAGAGGGAGGAGGAGAGGAGAGGAGGAGGGAGAGAGGAGTAGAGGAGAAGAGGAGAGGAGAGGAGGCAGGGAGAGGAGGAGGAGGAGGGGAGGGGGAGGAGGAAGGGGAGGAGGAGGGGAGGGGAGGAGGAGCAGAGCAGGAGGAGGAGCAGCAGGAGCAGGAGGAGAAGGAGGATGAGAGCAGGAGGAGGAGGAGGAGGAGGAGGAGGAGGAGGAGGAGGAGGAGGAGGAGGACCCAAACAAGAAGGAACGTCAACGGTACGGCGACGGGCGGCCTACACGACACGGAGGAACGGATCCGACACGCCAAAAAGGCGGCAAAACTCGAATCCGACCCGCGCCGAGCAGGGCTTACGAGCCCGAAGACGACTGCCAAAACTTGGCCTGCAAACGGGCCACGAGCGCATCCATTCGAGGATTCCGAATGATGGCAGCAGTGACGGAGGAGGAGGAGGAGACGTCCGCCCACCCAGCCGTCCCACCCACCAACCGCCGAAGGAGGTCGGACTCGAGAGGGGTCGGCGCCTGGAGGGTCTCCTCACGCCGACGCGAGTGCGGGTGAAGCCCAGCCTCCAGGCGCCGTCGATCATACGCCCGCTGGGGCGTCAAGGCAGGGCGACAAGCCTTGAAGAGGGCGCCACTCGACCTCTCCTCTGCATAGGCCCCGCATTTACAGCAATACACTAGGACCTGATCGCGTGCTGTCCAGCACGCCCTCAGGACGTGGCCGCCCACCCCTTCACACTCACGCAACTTTACAAGGAGCGGAGGGGGGCCTGGGCACTGAGTGAGGGGTCGCTCGTCCTGCTCAGGGCAAGCCCCAAGGCACCGAGCACAACGCAACTTCCAACTCCCCACACGACACCACTCGTGCCACGACACAACACGCGTTATGCTCGGCACCTTGATCTTCTTAAAGGATGGGAGCGGGAAAGCGGGAAGGACCGCCGCCGCCACACGAATGGCGGCGCGGAGGCGTTTGACCATAAGCCCATGCAACTCCGAGGTGGCGGGAGGGGCACGGGGGTGGAGGGAAAGGGCATCCTTGGCTAACAAATCGGCCATCTGGTTGCCACGCGCGATCCTTTCCTCATCAGGTGGGAGCGCGGAGATGACTTCTTCAGAGCGATGGGCACGGGTATGACTAACGTGCCCGATGTGTGCGTGCCCTGGATGCTGGAGCGCACCACGGCGCAGACCAGCAAAAACTTGGGAACCGTTAAGCTGGGCGGGGGCAGGCTTTTGAGTCAAGCGCACAGCGCCCAAACAATCGGAAAACGGCCTCGTGGTCCCTGGGCCCCGTTGGAAGATGGAAAGCATAGCTAGGGCAAGGTGTTCGGCGGACGGCGCCGTCTGGGGTAAGGACTCCCACACCACACCCTGCATCCTACATCGGACTTCGCACTGCTCAGAATTCTCCAGAAAGACCGCGGCATAAGCCGCTCGATTGAGACGGGCGAATTCAGTTCGAGTTGCACTGCCGTCAACACAAACATCACATCCCGCGCTGAGCTCCTGGAAGGTCTCCTGGGACACAGGGTTGCCCTGGGCATCCTGGAAGACAGGGAACAACTCAGAGGAGGGAGGAGGGAACTCGTCGGGGCGAGGTTGGAACACCAGGAGCCTGGACCACAGGAGATCTCCGGGCTCCTCGCGCGCATCAGCTGCAATCTCTGCCGACGTCGCCTCATCCCTAGCGGCGGCCGCAGCAGGGCAGCACCAGAGACGATGATGAATTGAATCTGGCTGGGAGCACAAGGGGCATAGACCTGTTGATTCAAAGCCATGCTGCACAAGGCGGTCCTCGGTCCACATGCCCCCAGCAAAGACGGAGGCTACAACATGCTTTTGCAGCGCCGAGAATTTCTTAGAACGGACAGCTTGGACAATCAAATCTGCGGCAACCTCCTGCCCCTGCCCCTGCGTTAGAGTGGCAGCAAAGCAACGGCCATGATGGCGAAGAATACTAGCATGCAACTGCTTGGCAAGCAAGGCAGGAGAGGTGAAAACTAGGCGATGCAAACACAACATGGCACGGTGAATGGGGCCTGCACTCTTATTCCACTGCGACTGCTGCAAGACTGGAGACTTCGCGGCTACAGCATCCCACGTCTTCTGCAAGAACCTCCACGAGAGCACAACACGATCAGGATGCACAATTGAGTTCCATACTGCCTTGGAATATTGAATGACGGGCGCCACTGCTACCTTCCACGCTGGGTCATCATACAGGAGCATACGAGCGGGTAGCGAGCCTCCTCGGAACGGGACGAGGGCACGTCGTAAAACCAACAACTCTCTCTCCGTCATGCCAGTGACGAGGGAGCCGTACGTAGTCGCAGGGCGCACTCCAGATATATATATCTTGTGAAGTCTGGCCTTGCCAACAGAGAGCCGTCGTCGTAGCGAACGCAGGAAGCCAACACGTCTCTTCATAGCTCGAAACCGTTTCTTCATCCGACACGTAGCGCCAGGCGCAGCACGAGGACGAGCAGGAGCAAAGTCAGCACCGAGCGCAGTGGCAGAGGTCGTAGCAGCCGCTGAGCGAGCACCGATACGAGCAAGCCGTCGATCGAGGTCACGAACGACATCATGGGAAGACCCAAAGACCACCGCCTTGTCGTGGGCGAGGCCAACCTGGAGCTCCTCCCTATAAACGGTGACGAGGTCCTGGGCGGCCTCCACGAGGGCTGGTACGAGGTCTTGTCGGGGGCCCGTCATGGAAACGCAGTCGTCATCAACGTACACGCCGAGGTCCAAGCGGGGGTGCCGCGCCACGAAACCATCTAGGGCCCCGAGGAGGTAGATCTGCACGAAGGCGTCATTGAACACGTCGCCAGCTGGCAACCCAGAGCGGGCAAACTGCACAAGAGGACAGTGATGGGCTCCCAGTCGAACCAGGCGGGGCCCCCTCCAGAAGTTGAACAGGACCTTGACTAGGGGCCGCGGGAGCCCGCACGCCAGCGCACGATCACGCAGGAGCTCCAAGTTAAACGACTCATAGAACTTGAGGCCATCCCACAGAAACCCCGCCGTCTCTTGGTCGATAGCCTGGCCACGTTCAGCGCGGACCGCCGCAAGCCACACTGCCTCCTCAGCTCCCCTGCCTTTTCCAAAGGACCAGTACTTGCGGGAGGACGCTTCCAGGAAGGGCTCCACAAGAGGGCGGCGTGCCTTTTCCCACACTCGCACAAAGGACGCGACGAGCAAAATTGGGCGGTAGCCGCCTTGCGGCTTCTCAAGCAGTGGAAAGAGGAGCCAGAGGAGCTGGGCAGGAAACAAGCCGAGGCGCTCCGAGCACGTGAAAATAATACTGAGCTGCACGAGCGCTGTGTCGCTGAGCATCTCGACATGCCGTGGGTGAAAACCGTCTAGGCTTTGGGCCGTGGATTCCGAGAAAGTCCGAGCCGCCGCACGCAACTGCACACACGTGAGAGCGTCCAGAGCCTCGCGATCGGGAATCCACGCCTCAGGAGGCTCCACCTCCGCATGCCAAAAACCTCCGAGCTTCACGGTCTCCTCCTGTACTAACTGACACGGCTCAGACGTAAACGACCCAGGGACCGAGGAGGAGACCGTGGGCTCCCACAGCTTCTTGATGCGGGTCAGGCGATGCATGCGCCTGGCCGAGCCGCTGAGCGCCAAGATGTGCCACTCCTTCCAGGAGCGGTCTCTGGCTTTGGAGTGCTCCGCCTGGACTTCATCACATTCCGTGGCGAGCTCCTCCGCGAGCGCATCAGCAGTATCCCACCACTCGCTGTCCCCAGGCAAATGCGGAGACCATTGAGTGAGCAGGAGGCGTACTGCCGCCAGCGAGCGGTCCAGGCGGGCGCACAAGCCCTCCCCCGCGTGCGAAACTCGCACCGCCAGGAGATGGTGAGCGCCTTCACCCGAGACCCAATCAACATCATCACGACGCGTGAGAGACAAAAACTCACTGAGCATACCGCACATCCATTGCCAACAGTTAGCCACCAGCGTGCCATCATCGGGCTCCTGTCGGCGATGGACGATAGGCTCCCAGACTGACTGCACGCGAGCTCCTCGCCACCCCGCACGGGTGGTGGGGAGATCGCAAACGTCAAGTAGCTCCTGCTCGGCAGCATTGGCAAAGAGAGACCACACTTCATTCATGAGAGCCCAGGCCTCCTGAGAGGAGCCATGCTCAGACAAAAACTGCAGCTTGGGCAGGAGGCGCTCTGACAACGCCCACGGGGGAGGGGGACGAGGACAGCCGATCGGGAGGTGGGTGGGGATTCGACTGTGACGCCGAAAGACCAACTGACGGACCTGAAGTGCATTAGCACGCAGCTCAAGCAAAACAGGACGGTGCGGTCTAACATGCCACGTGCTGTCCACAAAGATGCTGGCAGCCAGCGTAGACAGAGCATGCCCTACAACGAAGAAATCAATCGTGGACGTAGACGAACTGGTACGGCAGGTGATTGCAGCAGGCGCCATGATGACGGCCTTGACCTTCTGCACAAAGCCCGTGGCCTCGACGGCGGCAGGTGAGTTGTTCCAATCTGCCGCAATGACCGTGAGCGGAGGCTGGATGATCTTGGCGCCGATCGCGCTGAGCATGGACAGATTCTTCTCACGCATGCCGTCATTGACGTGGAAATAGGCACACACGATGTTGAACGAGAAACCAGGGAGGTCAATGGTAACCTGTATGGCACGATGTGGCACAATAGCCTTGCACGCTGGGTCAGTCCATCGCAAGCCAAACCCATCACGAACAAAAACTCCAACCCCAGCCGAGCACCTCTGCGTCGCGGGGTTGAAGGACGACTCACTGATGAGGAATCGCCAGCCCAGGGCGCGCACCGCGGCCAGGGACTGGGGCGCTGTGAGCTCGGACAAGCCAAGCTCCTGGGCGCACACGATGACACTGGTAGTCGTGGTGAGCCGCTCACGTAGCGTGGACCACCCAGAGCCATTGAAAGTCTCGATGAACTGTGTCGCCGTCGATGTCGGCGGCAACTTCTTCCTGCAAATCGGGGGTATTGGTAGCCTCATACACGACAACGGCAGGCCACAGACCCGCGGGTGTACTGCACCATGGTGAGGATCACCCCCGCCGCTGCTTCTTGGTGACGAGGCCGAGGGACTTGAACAACTCCTGGAGCTCCCGTTTGTCACCAGCAAACTTGGTAGTGGAGATGACCTGGGAGATGCCTTCCTCGTCGACGTCAAGGTACACATCATCATCCTCAGGGACGGGAACCGATTCACCACAGTCGGTGCCCTCATCCCCGACGGTTGGGCCAGCGGCGGCTGCCTGGGCGGCAGCAGCCGCACGCACAGCCTCCTTGAACTTGTCAAAGACAGGCGACTCCACCATGGCCTTGAGGTCGGCGTCGGCCTCCAGCACGGTGGTCGGGAGGTCGGGCAGCACGAAGGAGGTAGCATCACTCCCTTCAGGGCGCAGGTCCTTAGGGCAAGACTCGCGCAGCTCCTCCTGGAGGGTAGCCACCAGGTCCTTGGCGGCCAGCACCTTGGCCCTGAGCTCACGGAGGTGCTCCTCGGCGGCCTCGACGACCTTGACCTGCGCACTGACGTCGGACTCGAGCTTCTGATGGCGCTTGATCGCATCCTGCAGCTTGTGCCCGAGGGTGGTGTGGCGTGCAAGTTGTGGCTTGGCATCATTCCGAGCCTTGCGCGCCGCGGCCAGAGACTGCTCGGCACTGACACGGCTGGGGACGTCAGCGCCCAAGCCAGACTTGGCGAACTGGGCAACGATACCTTCCCAGCGCTGTACCTCAAGATCGAGCGGATCGGGCGGAGGCGCAGGCACGGGAGTGGGCACGGCCTGGGACTTCTGGAGGGCGGCGTACTTGCGCTTGAGCTCGGCGAGCTCACGGGCGATGCCACCATCCACACTGCCTGGCGGTCCTGCCGCCCACGCACTCCCAGCACGGCGGCGACCACCTGCAGCCCCAGGAGCATGAGACGGCCCACCGGCTTCCATCTGCTTGGCCGCCTTGCGCGCCTTGTCTGCGACAGACTGCGGGGCAGGGCGGCCGCATCGGCACCGAATGCGCGATGCATAGTTGGCGGACGCGCCGCAGGACGGGCAGCCCCAGAAGGGGCGGGTCGGTCCTGGCAGCACATCATGAGCGGGACTGGCCATCCACCTGTGCGGGGGTGGATGGGAGCGAAAGAAAAGGCTCGCAGGCGCGCTGCCGCTCCGAAGAATGGCACCTGCAAGGCGCGCGAGAAACCTCGCGAGCCCGAAGCGGCTGAGGGGGGGGGGGGGGGGGCGGGGGGGGGGGGGGGGGGGGGGGGGGGGGGGGGGGGGGGGGGGGGAAGTGGGGGAGAGGAAAGACTAGCCTCCGAATTTAATACTTGTAGGGTGATGGAAAGGGAGGGAAGGAGGGGAGGAGGAAGGGGGATGAGGAGGAGGAGTATAAGGGAGGAGGTGCAGGAGGTGGGCGAGGGAGGGTGGGAGGCCAGGCCGAGGAGAGAGCACATGGGGGAGGGGGCTGCTCGAGGTGCCCCTGGCCCAGGGTGGCCCCAGCTTTTCGCTCCATCTCGGAGCCCCTGGCGCTCTGTCGGCAACGAGCGAGGGGGGAAGTGAGAAGGAGCGGGCTCAGAAGGCTCAAAAGTCCCCTGGCTTTCTGGGAAGTGTTCTCAAGCTACCCCGAAGAGACAGAAGACTTCTCAGCAAGCGCGATGGCTTCTGAGAAGTCCCGCAGCCTTCTGAGAAGGTCTTCTCCTTCTCATTCCCCCCCACTTCTCGCCGCCGACTCTGGGCCTCGTGAGGGGTCCGCTGGAGGCCGTGGGGGGCCTTCTTGGAAATCCTGGGGGCACCCTGGGCCAGGGGCACGTATAGCAACACCCGCACGGGGAGGGGTTCTGGAGTTACGGATGTTGCGACTACGTTGGCTACGAAATTTCACCTCAGCTTGCGTTGCGTCTGGCCTCCTCGGCCTAACTGCAAGCCTTGGGCCAGACCCCCCAAGCAGTTGTAAGAAGGTGCTCCTTCCGATTACCTGAAGCTTTTTTGGGTATGGTTCATCAAGCTTGGCCAACTGTAGGGCCACAACGCTCCCGCAGGAACCACAAAACCGAATCTGGAGCAACATTCGGGGGGGCCAGTTCAGGGGGGGAAAATCGAGCTCGAATCGGCGACATATCGCCGATAGATCGGCAATAGGCCCCCGATAGCGAATACGGACAACGAGTGGGCGATCCGGGGTCGATGCAGCACCCCCTGACAACTGACTCGAGCTTCGGTTTTCGGGCCGTACCTCGGGCCTCAGGCGGCCGTTCGGGAGGACCCGGGAAAACCTCGAACCTCAAACTCGAGTCCCTGCCCCGAAGTGAAGGACCGGGGAAGGGGGAGGGGGAGGAGGAGGGGGAGGGGGAAGAGGAGAGGAGGAGGATGAGGAGGCGGAGGAGGAAGGAGGAGGAGGATAGGCGGGGGAGGGGTGAGGAGGGGAGAGGAGGAGGGGAGGAGGGGGAGAGGGGGAGGAGGAGGGGGGGAGAGGAGGAGGAGGAGGAGAGGAGGAGGGGAGGAGGAGGAGGAGGATAGGCGGGGGAGGGGCCAGCGCGCGGCGCCCCGGGCTACCTCGCCAGGCGGCGGCGCGCGACCGCCCGCCAGGCGGCGGCGAACCCCGCCGCCGCACCGAATTCTGCATCCGCGGCACCCTCGCCGCGGCTGCCGAGGGCGCACGGCCCCTGCGCAAGGCGAGCGCGTCGTCGTCGTCGTCGTCGTCCGTCGTCGTCCGTCGTCGACGTCGTCGTCGTCGGTCGTCGTCCGTCATCCGTCGTCGTCCGTCGTCGTTGTCATCGTCGTCCGTCGTTTGTCGTCGTCCGTCGTCGTCGTCGTCGTCCGTCGTCGTTGTCGTCGTCGTCGTAATCCGTCGTCCGTCGTCGCCGTCGTCGCCGTCGTCGTCGTCGTCGTCGTCGTCCGTCGTCCGTCATCGACGTCGTCCGTCGTCGTCGGTCGTCGTCGTCGTCCGTCGTCCGTCGTCCGTCGTTGTCCTCGTCATCGTCGTCGGCCGTCGTCCGACATCGACGTCGTCGTCGTCAACGTCGTCGTCCGTCGTCCGTCGTCGTCCGTCGTCGTCGTCGTCGTTGTCGTCGTCCGTCGTCGACGTCGTCGTCGTCCGTCGTCCGTCCTCATCCGTCCTCCGTCGTCGTCGTCGTCGTCGTGGTCGTCATCGTCCGTCGTCGGTCGTCGTCCGTCGTCGTCGCCGTCGACGTCGTCGACGTCGACGTCGTCGACGTCCGTCGTCCGTCGTCGACGTCGTCGTCGTCGTCCGTCGTCGTCGTCGTCGACGTCGTCGTCGTCGTCGTCGTCCGTCGTCCGTCGTCGTTCGTCGTAGTCGTCCGTCGTCGTCGTCGCCGTCGTCCGTCGTCGTCCGTCCGTCGTCCGTCGCCCCGTCGTCGTCGTCGTCGTCCGTCGTCGTCGTCGTCGTCGTCCGTCGTCCGTCGTCCCGTCGTCCGCGTCTTCGGAGTCGTCCGCCGTCGTCGTCTTCGGTCGTCGTCGTCGTCATCGTCGTCGTCCGTCGTCCGTCGTAGTCGTCGTCCGTCGTCCGTCGTCCGTCGTCGTCCGTCGTCGTCGTCGTCATCGTCGTCGTCGTCGACCGTCGTCGTCGTCGTCGTCCGTCGTCGTCGTCGTCCGACGTCGACGTCGTCGTCGTCGTCCGTTGTCCGTCGTCGTCCGCCGTAGTCGTCGTCGTCGTCGTCGTCCGTCGTCCGTCGTCGTCCGTCGTAGTCGTCGTCGCCGTCGTGATCGTCGTCGTCGTCCGTCGTCCGTCGTCGACGTCGTCGTCGTCGTCGTCGCCGTCGTCCGTCGTCGTCCGTCGTCGTCCGTCGTAGTCGTCCGTCGTAGTCGTCGTCCGTCGTCCATCGTCCGTCGTCGTCGTCGCCGTCGTCCGTCGTCCGTCGTCGTCCGTCGGTCGTCGTCGTCGTCGTCCGTCGTCCCTCGTTGTCCGTCGTAGTCGTCGTCGTCGTCGTCGTCGTCGTCGTCGTGATCGTCGTCGTCGTCAGTCGTCCGTCGTCGACGTCGTCGTCGTAGTCGTCGTCGTCCGTCGTCGTTGTCGTCGTACGTCGTCCGTCGTCGTCCGTCGTAGTCGTCGTCGTCGTCGTCCGTCGTCCGTCGTCCGTCGCCGTCCGTCGTCGTCGTCATCGTCGTCAGTCGATCGTCGTCGTCCGTCGTCGTCGTCGCCGTCGTCGTCGTCGTCGTCCGTCGTCCGTCGTCGGCGTTGTCGACGTCGTCCGTCGTCGTCCGTTGTCTGTCGTCGTCCGTCGTGCGTCGTCGTCGTCGTCCGTCGTCCGTCGTCGACGATGTCGTCGTCGTCCGTCGTCGTCGTCCGTCGTCGTCCGTCGTCGTCGTCATCGTCGTCGTTCCGCCGTCCGCCGTCGTCCGTCGTAGGTCCGCCGTCGTCGTCGTCCGTGTCGTCGTCCGTCGTCGTCGACGTCGTCGTCGTCGTCCGTCGTCGTCGTCGTCGTCGTCGTCGTCGTCGTCGTCCGACTCGACGTTCGCCGTCGTCGTCGTCCGTCGTCCGTCCGTCGCCAGTCGTCGTCGTCGTCGTCGTCGTCCGTCGTCCACCGTCGTCGACGTCGTCGACGTCCGTCGTCCGTCGTCGTCCGTCGTAGTGTCCGTCGTCGTCCGTCGTCGTCGTCGGCGTCGTAGTCGTCCGTCGTCGTCCGTCGTCGTAGTTGTCCGTCGTCGTCCGTCGTCCGTCGTCGACGTCGTCGTCCGTCGTAGTCGTCGTCGTCGTCCGTCATCGTCGTCCGTTGTCGACGTCGTCGTCGTCGCCCGTCGTCCGTAGTCGTCGTCGTCGTCGTCGTCGTCGTCGTCGTCGTCCGTCCGTCCGTCGTCATCGTCGTCGTCGTCGTCCGTCGTCGAAGTCGTCGACGTCGGTCGTCGTCGTCCGTCGTCGTCCGTCGTCCGTCGTCGTCCGTCGTCCGTCGTCCCTCGTCGTCGTCCGTCCGTCCGTCGTCCTCGTCATACGTCGTCCGTCGTCGTCCGTCGTCGTCGTCGTCGTCGTCGTCGTCCGTCGTCCGTCGTCCGTCGTTGACGTCGTCGTCGTCGTCGTGATCCGTCGTCCGTCGTGGTCGTCATAGTCGTCGTCGTCGTCGTCGTCCGTCGTCCGTCGTCGTCCGTCGTCGTCGTCGTCGTCGTCGTCGACGTCGTCGTCGTCCGTCGTCCGTCGTCGTCGTCGTCGTCGTTTGTCGTCTGTCGTCCGTCTTCGTCGTCGTCGTCGTCGGTGGTCGTCGTCGTCGTCCGTCGTCCGTCGTCGGCGTCGTCGTCGTCGTCGTCCGTCGTCCGACGTCGACATCGTCGTCGCCGTCCGTCGCCCGTCGTCGTCCGTCATCGTCGTCGTCGACGTCGTCGTCGCCCGTCGTCAACATCATCATCGTCGTCGTCGTCGTCCGTCGTCCGTCGTCGCCCGTCGTAATCGGAGTCTTTGTCGTCGTCGTCGTCGTCCGTTGTCGACTTCGGCGTCGTCGTCGTCCGTCGTCCGTCGTCGTCCGTCGTAGTCGTCGTCGTCGTCGTCCGTCGTCCGTCGTCGTCCGTCGTCGTCGTCGTCGTCGTCGTTGTCGTCGTCGTCCGTCGTCAGTCGTCATCGTCGTCGTCGTCGTCGTCCGTCACCCGTCGTAGTCGTCGTCGTGGTCGTCGTCGTCGTCGTCCACCGTTGTCCGTCGTCGTCGTCGTCATTGCCGCTGTCCGTCGTCGTCTTCGGTCGTCGTCGTCGCCGTCCGTCGTCCGTCGTCGTTTATCGTCGTCGTCGTCGTCATCCGTCGTCCGTCGTCGTCGTCCTCCGACGTCGTCGTCTTCGTCGTCGTCGTCGTCGTCCGTCGTCCGTCGTCGACGTCGACGTCCGTCGTCGTCGTCCGTCCACGTCCGTCGTCGTCGTCGTCGTCGTCGTCGTCCGTCGTCCGACGCCCGTCGTCGTCGTCGTCGTCGTCCGTCGTCCGTCGTCGTCCGTCGTCGTCCGTCGTCGTCGTCGTCGCGTCGTCGTCCGTCGCCCGTCGTCGCCATCATCCGTC